AAATCAAGTATGGTGGGGAAGTGCTGTTAACCATTGGATGCCAGCCCACTAGAATGGTCTTGGGAGGTAGAGGCCTAAAGATAAGGGGTTGAAGATCAACGTGAGTTACATAGTAAAGACTGCTTCAAACAATACAGCAGATGGGTATAGTGGTTCAACCTGTAATCCAGCACAGGGGAAGTTGGGATACAGAGATCATGAGTTTGAGACCAGTCTACTATGTACTGAGTTTCAGTCCAGCACAAGTTACTAAGTGAGACTCAGTCTCAAAAACCCAGATGGCTCAGTGGGTAAACACACTGGTTGTACAAGCCCGATGACCTGAGTTCAATTCCTGGAACCCACAGTAGAAGGACACTCACTGCCAAAAGTTATCATTTGACCTCCACTTACACACTTTGGTATGTTCAGGCCCATTCTCAAAGACACACACCTCATATACACATGCACACACACACAGAGTAATAATACATTAAAAACAGTTTCTGACAGGGTTTCTCTGCGTAGCCCTGGCTGTCCTGGAGCTTGTTCTGTAGACCAGGGTGGCCGCCTCTGCTTCCCAAGTGCTTAAAGGTGTGTGCTGCCACCACCGGTCATAGATAGATAGAATTTTAATGTTTGGTTTAGACAAAGATAACATTTTTTAAAGGAAGATGAGATGAGCTCCGCAGGCTCCCTGGTTCCTGTGTTAGGAAGGAAGGCTTTCATTGGCTGCCTAAGGCCTGGAGAATGGATTGCATCAGAGAAGCATGCCCCCTGTGTGCGGTCCAGTGACTCACCTCCTTGCCCTCAGGGTGTCTAGAACCTGCTGGCTGCCAAGGAGCTGTGGGCTGCTGTCTGAGGGAATAAGATTCTGAGCACTGAGGGGACTGGGAAGCCGAGACTCCTCAAGCCTTGGAAGAAGCCAGGCGTAGAGTCCCTCTGGGGTGATGATGGGGTGCCAGGCTTGCTTGTTGGGGAAAGAGTTGTAGCATTCATTAACAGGTTATCGTGGTCTTGTAGGGAGACAGAGGACAAATGTGTGCCTGTAGTTCCCAGTCACAGTGTTTCAGAGGGTGGTGACTGGAAGAGGGCACTGACCTAGGTTTAAGCAAAGCTGTGTCCCAGCACTCCTCTGGACTACCCACTTCAGAACTCTCCATCTCTCTCCTTCTAGTCCTGGACGCACAACATCCAGCGAGAAAAGGAGTTTCTACGGAAGCTGGTGAAAGCTCGCGTCATCACTGACCTAAGCAGTGGCATCTGAGTGGGCCCAATGCTGGGCCATAGAGGCTCACACCAGGAACAAGCAGCTGCCACCCGCATAGGAGTCTTCCGACCCAGAGAAGGACAGTGCCAAGGGGCCCGAGGGCCAGTGAGGCCTTGGCAAGGCAACCAGAGCTGTGCCTGTTCCAGGCCAGCGTCAGAGACCAGCACTCTGCCTCGCAGCCTGGGTCCGTGAAGCCAGATGGCCAGGAGGCCACTGGCTGTGACCAGCAGGCCCAGCATGCAGGAGGTGGGACATTTGGGAGCGAGAGTGCTGCCAGAATCATTTCTCCAATCAGTGTTTGGTGTATTATCATTTCGTGAATTTGGGTGTGGGAGGGGAGGGATAATTTATTTTTAAATAAGATGTCACATTTGGTCCACTTGCTGTGCAGAAAGAGGTCCACTAGAGGGCCCACCAGGCAGTGGTACCCGCGAGCTCTCTGAAGGATGGAAGTGCCAGACCATGCTTCAGGGCCACAGGGAGGTGGGTAGCATCTCATGTCTGCCATCTCCAGCTCATGATACACTTTGGCCTTCCTTGGGGGGAGGTGGAGTACTCCCTCTCACCAGCCCCCAGTGTCCCACAGGGGAACCCCAGAGCCATCCCTTTAAAGCCAACAGGACAGCTCTTGGACAAGGGCAGACAGAATTCAGGAGGCAAGGCCCAGCCTGAGGAGAATGCCTCCTCTCCATAGCTGTCCCTGATCCATGGGATCAGTGCTCCTTCCTAGACTGACAAACTGTCAGGTGGTCTGGGTTTCTTGATGAGACTGCCAGCTCCATGGGTCCTACCCAGGACCAGAGGGAAGTGAGGCTCAAGGACCTTTCCCAGGCTGCAGCAGCTGTCCCAGGCAGCCCTCATGGAAGCAATAAAGCTCTCCCCTGAACTTGGCCTCCTGTTGTTTTCTCTAACTTTTCTGGAAGAAACAGAAATGTGGGGCCTTAACAGAACTGAACTCAAGTGTCTTCTCTCCAGCCCACGGACTCCTGGGTCCCTTTCACTTCCCATCCCGGGTAGAACCTTTGAGGTCTCCAGCTCAGCAGTAGAGTGCTTACAGCTCTTACAGAGGACCCAGCACCCACATCCCAGTACTCATGGTCACCTGTAACTCCAGTTCCAGGGAATCTAATGCCCCTTCTGACCTCCAAGGCTCCTGTGGTATACCTACACTGAAACACAAAACACAAAATAAATAAGGGCCAGCAGAAGAGAAGCCCACAGAGGGCAGCGAAACCCACAGACCTCAATTCCTGTCATCCATGGCTCCACTTTGAAGTGGATATGGCCCATCCCCCGTTAGTACTCGCCCCCTTCTCAATGGGAAAACAGGAAAGCCCCCAGCCCCCCAGCCCTGCCCTCTGGGAACTTTAGAAAGAGCATTCATGTCCCATTTTACCCCCTTAGAGCTCTGTAATCCGACCCTTCTTGAAGCAACCCCAGGCAGGTCTGAGAAAGCTCAAATGTACACCCTGACATGCAATCATGGAGGTAACTTCTTTCCAGAAACTGGCCACTATGACAGTAAGTGGGACAGCTGTTCCCTTATCTCTCCTATCTCAACCAATCCAGGGCCTAGACATGCCTTGGTCCTCCCACTGGTAAGCCTCCTAACTACAGAGAAACCTGGCCATCCTAAGAACTACAACCCTCCTTATGTGGCCTAAGCTCCATGGCTGTCAGTAGTAGCCCTGGCTGAAAAGAGCACTTCAGTTCAGCAGCCAGCTAGATGAAAAAAGAGACCAAGCTGTCCAGTGAGCTTCCTCCCATCCTGTGCAGTCCTGTGGAGTCTGGGGACAGCCCTCACCGGCAGCGGCTGCCCCGTCTGTGCAGTCAGACTTCAGCCTCAAGCCCTGCACAGAACTGTTCTCTCCAAACCTGTGGTTAGCCCTGGCTGTGTACCAGAGTCACAGGTAAAGGAAGCATGGAAATTTGCACCTGCCCACCCAAGGATTCTGATTCAGAACGGGATGGAGCCTTGATATGGGTAGTTCTTAAAGGTCAACAGGGATAGGCACATAGCCAGGGTACATCTAGTCCACAGACATTCCCTGGGTATTCTTCCTCACACCCAGCATCTAGTTATGAGTGTACTGGTCAGCAAATACCGAATTGCCATCACCAGCCCAATTACCTTCTCTTTGTTCCTGGCTTCCAGGGCATTTCCAGCAGGAGAGCCCATAGACCCTTCTAGTTCAACATACTCCACACTGAATTCATGCCCCACCACCACCACACACACCTGGACCTCCCCCCAGGGAGTATAAGCTCCTAGAATCCATCCTTGTTCCTTGGTCCGTTTTACCACCTCTCTTTGTCCAATCAGGCAGGGGTGTTAGAGATTGGGTCCCTGAAGCCCCTAGCTCCCCACAACCCTGCTCAGGATTCATCTTTTTGTCCCCAGCAGCCTGCACCCCTCGTGTCTTGCTTGTCTCAAAACCACACTCTTCCCCAGTGCAGTCATTCAACGAAAATGCGTGTCTGACCACTCAGACCAGGTCAGCATCTTTACGATGAGCTTCAGACTAGTTAGACATTTCCAATTATAGCCATCAACCAACCCGCAGACATCCGTCAAATTGCCTTATCACACCTCAAAACCAATTCAACACTTTGGCTCTCGGATTCTTCACCCCTGCCCCCCCCAACACACACACACACACACACACACACACACACACACACACACACACACACACACAATCATTGCCTTCATTGAGACAGTGTACATGAATTCCTTTGAGCTCCGAGACCCTGTAACTGAGCAATGAAACAAACTGTCCTTGGATAGTGGGAGCTCAAGGCAGAGCCCTGCCGCTTTGAGGCAGCTGAGCTTTCTGAGGGTCCCGGAGTCACCAATCGACGCTGCAGGGTAGCTAGCCAGCACCCCTATGTCTGCACAACCCAAGCTGGAACTCTCCTCCAGGCTGCCCCTCCTTCACCGCCCTCCCTCGATCTCTCCCGCCCTTGGCCAGGCCTCCCAGTTCCCTACTTTGCGCGTCTACCAACTTCGAATTCCCAGTTTTGAGCGCCTCGCTGCCGCCCGCGATCTCTACTCTGCCTCCTGGGGTCTTCTCCCAGTGTCTAGCCCCCACCTAAGGGGACCTAGCCGAGCCAGTGGGGACCGGATCTGAAGGGTGGAGCAGCCAGGTGAGCCCTGAAAGGTGGGGCGGGGCGGGGGCGCTCTGGGCCCCACCCCGGGATCTGGTGACGCCGGGGCTGGAATTTGACACCGGACGGCGGCGGGCAGGAGGCTGCTGAGGGATGGAGTTGGGCTCGGCCCCCAGATGCGGCCCGCGGGCTCTGCCAGCAACAAGTCCCTCGGGCCCCAGCCTTTGCTGCGACTGGGGCTCGGAGCCCTGCACCCGAGGTAAGGCAGCCTTCTTGCCCATCCCCTGATGAACGCTCCTGGGGCAAAAGAAGGGCCAGAAAGGTCTTCTCCCTCCCCCTTTTCTCTCAGCCTCTCTTCTGGGCCCTCAGCGTAGCTGCCCCTCCCAGTCCCTCGGTCCCTCTTGTCGCTAGGCTGTTGGACTGTGTTAGCCCTCTAGGCTGGCTGTAATATGAGGCTCCCGCTGCCGCCACAGGGCACAGACCGGCTGCCAAAGTCCCACTTTTGGCTAAAAGAGGCTCTGTCAGGTGCACAACTCTGGGCACGATCCATGTGAGCTTCGGGGGAAAGCCCAGCACTGGTCCCAGGAAAGGTGCCTAGAAGGACTCGGTGCGAGCCCCCCTGGGTGAGTATAGGGCTGGTGGACAGGGGTGGCAAGGGCTGAAGGACCAAATATCCCAGATGGCAAAGAAGGAGAACGGTCTGAACTGCCCTCGAGGGACTTGCTCCTGAGCTCCCCCTAGCGCAGATACCCCTAAGGCTGCCTTGTCTGACTTTCCCTCCATCTGAGAGAATAGTCACCAGCCAGGTCTCTGGGGATCTGAATCTAGTTAGCCAACAGGTACACAACTAAGCCCTAGAGCGCCACTTCCTGGACAAAGGCCTGGGAGGGATGTGTCGTCGTCGTCGACGTCCCCGTGTATTCTGTGTGCTAGCAGAAGGACAGAGGATAACATCTGGGACCCAAGAGGAGACTAGCTAATGAGAACTCTTAAAGGTTCTGGGAGACCCAGGGGGGTGGCTCACAAGATGTGGTGTTCAGTAAAGTCGGCTGCGGTCAGGAAGGATGGTTCACGGGGGAAACTCGTGGGAGCGAGGCGAGGGTGCCTGATCGACAGAAGGCTGATGGCCTAGATGGCCAGCTCTCAGAGTGGTTCAGCTCTCAGAGACCAGGCTAGTGTATAGGACTGGCTGGTCCTCCTGAGAATGGCGCAGAACTGAACATGCAGAGGATGTGGAGAAGCCGTCCGCCAGCCCCCTTAAGTCCGCAGGCTTGGCAAACTCTGCCCCCTGGTGGCCACAGGAAACCATGATCCAGGCATTGTGTTTTCCAGAAGGTCCATCACTCCCCGGGCAGGCTCTTGGGGGACATCTGTGGGCCTAAAACAGAACTCAGGTGACCCTGGGTCCAGAGCAGAGATTTCAGGTGGCCTAGGATCCTAGTCACCAGACAACTCAGAGTGACCACCTGGCACTGTAATTCTCCGGGGCTCTGCTTCCTCCCCTGGGTGTTGGAGCGAATACTGAGTAATAGCTAAGGGTGTCCAGTTACTACTTTCTCCTGGTACCTTCAGCCCTCAAGTACAGAGCAGGAGGGTCCTAGAAGACAGGACCACAGCTGTGTGAGTTTACCCACTGTGGCCTTACACAATCTGAGCTCAGTTGAGCCTCGTTCGCCCATCTGGAAAAGTGAGCCAAGGACCTCGTGGAATTGTGGAGGAGGAAATACTGCTGCTGGTCTGACTCCAGCTGTCTAAGCTCCAGGGTAGCTTTGAGAAACTGAAGTGGAAGGATGAATACCCCAAAAACATAACTAACCCCTTTTTCAATTTGCAGCTGCCGCAAAAAGTGGGTGGCGAAACAGGCCCACGAAGGCTGATGGGAGCTCCTGGTGTTGACAGAAATGGAGCTGGGACTTGGAGACCCTACTGCATTGCCCCACTGCCTCCGGCCTAGGTGGCAGGTGAGGCATTCCCTTGCATTTCCCAGCTGAGTTTAATTGTGAAAAAGAGGTAGAACATAGCCTGGGCAGGGGTCAGATGTGAGGGAGGAAATATCAAGAGGCGAGAGGAAAGGAACAGGATGTCCCTCGGGTGATTCCTCCTCTGGGCTCCCTGAAGCAGCAAATGCCTATTAAACCGAAGCCCTTCCCTGCACTAGCCACCCAGCTAGGAACCCGATGGAGTGGTCTCTGTTCCTCCCTGAGCCTCCTCTTTTCGCTGTGCAGTCAGCCTGGTGGCCAACCCTAGCTGCTCTTGCCCTGCTGAGCAGCGTCACAGAAGCCTCCCTGGACCCCATGTCCGGCAGTCCCGCCATTCGCGATGGTCCCTCGCCGGTCCTGGCGCCCCCAACCGGCTACCTGCCTGGTAGGTGAGAGCGCGACAGGGAGGTGCAGGGGTGAGGCTAACCCTAGACCCTCCCCCGTCCCGAAAGTGATTAAGTCTCATTCCAGGGGGACACACTGCGCATTTGTGCAGCGAAAGAGCCCTGCCACCACCGCCACAGTCTCCCCAGCCTGCACCCCCGCCGCCAGGTCCCGCGCTCCAGTCTCCTCCCGGGGCGCTCCGCGGGGTACGCGCAGCGCGTGTAGGGACCCGTAGCAGTCGCGCCCGGGCCACGGATACGCGCGGCTGTCGCCTGCGCTCGCAACTGGTGCCGGTGAGCGCCCTGGGCCTGGGCCACAGCTCGGACGAGCTGGTACGTTTCCGCTTTTGCAGCGGCTCGTGCCGCCGAGCACGTTCCCCGCACGACCTCAGCCTGGCTAACCTACTGGGCGCCGGGGCCCTGCGGTCGCCCCCCGGGTCCCGGCCGATCAGCCAGCCGTGCTGCCGGCCCACTCGCTATGAAGCCGTCTCCTTCATGGACGTGAACAGCACCTGGAGGACCGTGGACCACCTCTCTGCCACTGCCTGCGGCTGTCTGGGCTGAGGATGCTCTCTAAGCCTTTGCACACTGGACCTTTACCCATGTGTCGCCCTGCCTGGAACAATCCCACCTGGCCTCACTAGCCAGGAACCTCAGCCTGAAATCGGGGCTGCAGAGCTCAGGCTCCAGGCCGGTGAGTGACAGACATGGAGCAGGAGAGATGACCTCACCACTGACCAAGCTCCAAGGCGCTCATGGATCCCAGCTCTACAGACACCAGAAACCTCAGCTAAGGATAATCCTCTGGGAGAATCCAGAAATGGCCCCAGGCCCTGGGGAATGAATTTTGAGGAGATAGCATTGTAGTCACGTTGCTGGAAGAGCCTGTGCCGAAGCCAGCTTTGTGATCACTTGTGGAAGCAGAAGCCCTATTTATTATTTCTAAATTATTTATATTTACCTTCCTGGTTTGTCAAATCTTTTCCTGGACATGGGGGATGGGTGGAAGAGGCTGGATGAAGATGTGCCCCCCACCTCTCCACTTCCATATTTCACACTGACTCGGCAGTCACAGTGTTGACTTGGATCACCTACTGCTTGTCCCTCGGGTGGCTCTGAGATGGGAGGCACAGATGGGTAACCAAGATGCACAGTACTCGGCACTTGGGGCCTGGGTTACCTGTGGAAAAATAAACTATATAGCGTTCTGTGGAGAAAGGCTGTCCTGTGACCGCTGGCACCTTTGAGGCCCCTGCTTAGTGGGTAAAGATACAGAAAACCATACTTTGTCCCACCATCGATGTTGGTGTCTTGCCATGCAAGGACCTGTCTTGAAGGCTCCCTGACGGGTGTACATGCTGCTTTCACTCACAGGTAGTCAACCCCTGAAGTAGCCCAGGGCAAGAGAACATCTGAAGGGCTAAAGACGGGAGAGGGACTCCAGGGTGCTTGCTCATGGGAAGGAAGCACAGAGCGACGTGAGGATCGGAAGACGGGAAAGTGCTGAGAGTCTCAGCAGACGGTGGATTGTAGGTGATGAACAAGCCTATTCATTTACTTGCCCAATAAACATGGACAATGAAATGTCAGCTGCTATGTAGACACTGAAGATGGAGAGGTTTGGCTGCAGGTGTAGCTCAGTTGATAGGGTGCTTGCCCAGAGTGCTTGAAGCTCTTGGTTTGGTTTCCAGCACCACATAAACAGGGTGTAGTGGCACATGCCTATCTTACCAGCACGCAGGAGGCAGAAGCAGAAGGATCAAATAAATATTCAAGGGCATCCTCAGCTACATACTGTGTTCCAGGCTAGCCTGGGCTACATGACAGTCTGCCTCACAAGGGAAAACAAAGTGGGGAACATCATAATCTCTGTCCTTAAGCTCTGCCCAGGAAAGACAGGCAATAAACGAGCAGTGACCTACCTAGTCACTTAAGTTCAGTGTGGCTAATGGTAATGGAAACAACTGGAGCTACGAGGGACACATTTTCTCCCAGTTAGAAAGTTCAGGGTTGTCCCTGGCCTTTCACACCGTCCTCAGGCCATCTCCAAAAGGCCAATACAATCATCTGAGCTTTTCTGTGTGACTTTGAAACAGTGTTTTAAATCAGGTGTGACAGTGCATTCTTCTAATCCAGCACTTGAGGTATGGAGGCAGGAAGATAAACTGAAGTTCATTCTCATCTACACCGCAAGTTCCAGTCCATCTCGGGCTACATGAGAACTTGTCTGAGAGAAAGGAGGGAGGAAGGAAAACTTTCCTGGTCCTGGGCATTTATATTGAAGAGGCCAGTGTGGTCTTTCTTCCTTAAAACAAGACAGGGCACTTTTTATTTATGTGTGGATGAGCATGCGTGTTTGTTTGGAGGCCAGAGGTCCTCAACCTGCATCTTCCTTCCTCAGATGCTTTCTGGCTTAACTTTTGAGACATAGTCTCTCTTTGGATCCTAAGGTGGCCAATTTGGCTAACCAGAAAACCCAGGGATCCTCCTGTTCCTACCTCCCCAGCTCTGGAATTACAAGCATATAATTTTTTTAATGTAATTGCATTTCGTTTATCTTATTTGTGTGTATGCGTGGGTAAATGTGAACACATTTAGAGGTCAGGGAACAGCTTATGGGAGTCAGCTCCCTCCTTTACTATGGGGTCACGGATCAAACCAAGATCATTAGGCTTGGTGGCAGGTCCTCACTCCTTGTGTTTGTGCCAAAGCACTTTAGCGACTGACCAGCTCCCAGGCCTCCATTTGGAAAAGGTGCTATGTCTAAGGGGTTATGTTATAACACAGGGGTTTCTGGGAAGCAGAGACACTCGTCTGGAGCAGAGCAGGATGGCCTGAGTGGGAGAGGTGTGAGAGCCTCTAGCAAACAGAGCCCATCCGAGAAAATTCTGCCACCAAGAAACCATGCTTGATTCTGTTCTTTGGTGTTTAGAATTCCTTTTTCAGCTTTTGTTAGGTTTTATGTGGGAATGCTTGCCAAACGTTTGGGCCCCACATGTGTCCCCTAAGGGACACCTCAAACCTTCCCTTAGGTTTATTCCATCAGGAATGCATGGTCCCACCCACCCCCACCCACCCCACCCCCACACAGTTATCTGCTCTGGCAGATAGCCCTTGTCAGTGACTCTCAGCCAAGGAGCCCTAACTTATCCCTAGCCATAGATCTCTGCGCTGTAGTGTCTGGGGACTGACTGGGGTCTCATCCTGAAAAGGAGGGGTTGGGGCCAGGTGGTGGCGGTGCACACCTTTAATCCCAGCACTCGGGAGGCAGACAGGTGGATCTCTGTGAGTTACCAGCCTCGTCTACAAAACGAGTGCCAGGACAGGCTCCAAAGCTACACAGAGAAACCCTGTCTCGAAAAGCCAAAAAATTTTTAAAAAAAGAAAGAAAAAGAAAAGGAGGAGTTGGAAAGAAAGTTGAGAAAAAGATTTAAGAGACTGTGTCCCATGATTGTACCTTTGTCCTTCTCAAAAGGGTCCCCCCCCTACCTTGGAAACAGAGCCTTCTAAGAAGACCCTGTTAAAGCTATGGGCTGTCTTCCCCCATTCTGCTGTGTAAATCCAGGCAATATGCTTGAGAGGCCAGGGGACACCTTCTGAAGCTCATTTAGAGGTCCCATGGCGTCCTTGGCCCCATGTGATGCTCTATTCTAGGTACCTCCTGTAGCTGGATTGATCCCTCTGAATGTACTGAGGCTCCAGTGTCAGGGCTTTGTCAATTATTTACAATACACACCACACTTCAACCTTCCTCTGTTTCACCTCTCCTCTGTCCTTATACTGACTTGAACAGAATCGCATTATAAACAGAACTGATGTTGGAACTATGGGGTATAGGGGTAGGATATCTGCCCTGACTTCTTCTCTAAAAGAACTTTCCTGAGATCTCAGGGACCTCAATGGCCACTTTCTAGAAATTTTACCTTGACTGGATCCCTCGCCCTCCCTCCTGTTTCCTTCCACTACCCCAGTTGTGGCCCTGGGGCTCTGAAGCTGAACCCCCCACCCAGCATTGTCTTCACTTAGGGATGCAGTTCCCTAAGCCTATATCATCTAACGGTTACCCGTGTGCCTATATCATCTAATGGTTACCCGTGTACCTATTGCCTAATGATTATCCGTGTGCCTTCAAGCGTCACATATCTTCCTGATGTCTTCAGCTCTGCTCTTCCTCCCTGTCCACCCTCTGATACTTCACACTGCTAGTCTCCCCCCCTTCCAGCTTCTCAACTACTACAGGATTCTCTCCGCAGCAACCTCTACCTGATGGCACAAGACAGAAACTTGGGCAACATTCTTGACTCCTTGAGCCTGTTCGCTGGTCCCAAAACAATAATTGCTGCTTCTGTTGACTGTTCGCTAAAACTCTATTGCTGAAGACACCATGCCCTCTGGCTTGTAGGACACAGAGGAATAAAGCTTCCTGCCTGGCTGCTGGAAGAGAATCAACAGTCTTCCTTAGTTGTGAGCCTTGCATGCTGTCAGGCAAGATGTACCCATTGATGAAATAGTGGCAAGCCTGGTATGGGGGTAACCACTTGCTTCCTGATTGAACTTGAGGTCCACTGCACGATGGGGGAATTCATACCTGGTATTGTAAACCTACTCAAAAGTTCATGGCTGGAAAGTCATAGGCCATAATGGGGAAGCCACATCTGTCTGTTGTTTTGATAAATTGACATGATGTACCCAGTAAGTTGCCTTCTAAATAACTATGTTTATGCCCAGGGATCAGTACTGCTGACGGTTTTCATCAGTTTCTCTTTGTAGTGGACAGCAGTAACTGCAGAGACTTATAGTGGGTCAGTGATGAGCATAATGACTGTTGAATGCTCAGTCATAAGTGGGACATCTGTATCACACCCTCAAGGCTCGGGGAAATAGCAGAAGAAGGAGAACAAAATGTAAGTGAGCAGCTATGATTATCTGCACAAGACTGGGTCCATCAATATCCTGTCATGAGGCTCCATCTCCCTGTGAGGATTTATAGACAGCTAATGGTTCATGGGGTAGGGGAAAGACATTTTCTTCAGTGGCAAGATGTCCATGCTCCTGTAACTGACCTTAGTGGAATACATTGGGACACACATGGACACACACACATATGAAAACAACAACACAGCATGAAAACAGAAATGGAATTAGTTGAGAAAAGAAAGGATATAAGTCAGAAGGGGACAAGAAAGATGAATATGATTAAAATACATTATCTATTACATTATGAATATATGTCAATGTTACTATGAAACCCATTATATATAGCTAATATATGCGAATAAAACATTTTATTTTCACTTATTTATTTTTGTTTCTTGAGACAGAGCCTCTCTACATAGCTCTGGAACTCACTATGTAGATGAGGCTGGCCTCAAATTTGGAAAGATCCACCTGCCTCTGCCTCCTGAGGGCTGGGCCACCACACTCAGCCTAAAACATTTTTTTTGAAGTTTAACTGTACTAAACTCTGTTTCGGCTTACTGCATAACTTCTCTCTCCTTACTGATTGAAATTTTCCCAACACAGAATCTTCTAGCAGTAGCATGGTTAGGGAAGTATAAGACAGGCTGGCATACCATCAGGAGGATCTGAAATTCTGTAAACCTGGGGAGGATACCAATTAAGACAATAACTGGAGACACCACTCAAGGCTTTAATTGTTATCCCATTGATCTTGGGCTTTGTCCCGAGAGACCACTGAAGGGTTTCCAGTGGTTTTGGTGTGTGTCCTGCTTGGTTTCTGTCAATTTGACATTAATGTCTAGGATTACCCAGACAAATCTGGGAAAGGACACTCAGATGAGAAATTGCCTCCATCAGATTGTCCTGTGGGCATGTCTGCAGGGCATTTTCTTGATTAATGACTGATGTGGGTGGTGCCACCACCAGGGCAAGTGGTCCTGGGTTGCATTAGTAAACGAGTAAACTTTGTGAATTGAGCCAGGAAGCAGGGTTCTTCTGTAGTTTCTTCTTCAGTTTCTGCCTCTAGGTTCCTGATTCTACTCCTGCCATGTCTTCCCTCTATGATGGAGTATGATCAGAGCATACAAGTCATAGTGTTCATCACAGCAACAAAGTAAACCAAGACAGTATGCTTCTGACGATGACCGGCTCCTGTGGAACAGGAGTGTTACGGAGGAGCAGGGGTCTCTTTTTTGAGTTCTTATTCTCACTGAAAAAATAATTTTAAAACAGACACGGAAGGAAGCTTGGGCACTTTTTCATTAGAGTCGGAGAGAAAAGCAATGGGAGAGAAGCTGACAATCTGGACCATTGCTGGGAGGAGGGAGCCAAAGAGGAGACAAAGTTATGCCTTTTGAGTTAGGCAGGGGGTTGGCAAGCAGCCGAAGCAAGGCTGGGTGTCTTCGGAGAAGCAGTGAGGAAGTCCAGAGCCTCAGAGAGAGCAGGCTTAGGCTTTTGGTCAGTATCTGAAAAACGAGACAGATACAAAAGGAGCTACACTTTCTGAGTTACAACCCAAACAGGGAGGCTGGGCAGACATGCCCACAAGACAATCTGACTGAGGCAATTCCTCAACTAAGTCTCTTCTCAGATGTGTCTGGGTAACCTAGACACAAATGTCAAACCGACAAGATGTACAAGCAACTGCTGTGAGAGAAGCTCAAGTACCTTATCCCACTGAGGAGAGAGTTGTTCCTCCTGCCACCTTAGCTTGTCCTCAATGCATCAGCTTTCCTGGGGGGGTCTCCTAGACAGGCTGATTGACAGGGCGGATTAAATCAACTTTCTGAAACTTCGCTTATTTATTCATTCATTTTGTGTATGTGTTGGCGGCATATGTGCACACAGGGAGAGCAGAGGACAAGTTTTGGGAGTCAGTTACCTTATTCTTCTACGTGGGTCCCCAGAATTGAACTCAAATCCTCAGGCTTGATGGGAAGTGACTTTGCCTGCTGAGTCAGATCAAAATATCACGTCTCTACTCAGAGCCAGAAGAAAGAACAGATTCCATTCTTCTGACCAGGAAGAAGTAGCTTTCCTTTAATGGGCATCAGTAAAGTCCTGATACCTTCACTTTCTCATATGACATTTTATCTCATTTTTATATGTATGGATGTTTTTCTTGAGTGTCTGTGAACCACAATGTACCTTGTACAATTGGAGACAGACGAAAGTGTCAGGCCACCTGGAACCAGAGCTATAGTTATGAACCACCATGTAAGGAGCCAGTGTTCTTAACTACTGAGCCGTCTCCAGTGCCATCCATGTGGCATTATATATATGCATATATATATAATATAATATATATGTATATATATAGTGAATTAGTGTTTTGCCTACATGTAAGCCTGTGTGAGGGTGTCAGATCCCCTGGAACTGGAGTTACTGTTGTGAGCTGCCATGTGGGTGCTGGGAATTGAACCAGGGTCCTCTGGAAGGGCAGCCAGTGCTGAGCCATCTTTCCAGCCCCAATATTTTAAATATTAAGGAGGGAACATTCATGACACTTCCCAGTGTTATGGGACACAGGACGTGGGGCCCAGAGCATATTAGGAGGGAGGGACTTATTCTCGTTGGTCTCAACTGTCTAGGTGCCATAACAGGAAGAGGGGATGGTGAGGTGAATGAGCCCTAAATGCAATCAGGAAGAAAACACAGCGGCTATGCTTTGGCTTCTGGGCCAGGCCCTATTCATGAATTATTTCAGGTTGTGCTTCACTGAACAAATCTCTCAATTTCTTACCCATTTCCAAAAGAAGCCAGGACCTGTGGCTAGAAACACGTACCTGCCTTAAGACTGGGCTACACAGCGAGATCCTGTCCCCAAAAAACAAACAAGGTTGAGGATGTGGTTCAGTCAATAGGGTGCTTGGGCTGGACCATTGCACCTCATACACCCAATGTGGTAGCACAGTCCTGTAATCAGGGCACTCTGCAGATGGAGGTAGGAGAATCAGGTCAAAGAGTTCTTCCACTCTGTAGTCAATTTGGATCTGGTCTGGGATGCTGGAGACCCCCCCACATTTGTTTTCTGAGACATGGTTTCTCTGTGTCGAAGGAGGGATTTAAATGAGTCCACAAGACCCAAGATACATGATAAACAGGTATTTATTAGGGAAGCACTTACATAAATAATAGTAAATAACCACAGTCTTCCTGTTCCTGAAGATTCCGGCTCTGCCCTTCCATGCTCTCACAGCAAGCCAGCCCCTCCTCTATCGATTAAGGGGGTCACATACCTGAAACCACGCCCCTAGGATGTGGCCACCACAGCAAAGCAAGATGCCGCTACACTGTGTAGCCCTGGCTGTCCTGGAACTTGTTCTGTAAAACAGGCTGGCCTCAACCTCAAGAGATCCATCTGTCTCTGTCTGCCAGTATGCCAGACGAGACTCCATCTCAAAACAAACTAACCCGCCGGGCAGTGGTGGTGCACGCCTTTAATCCCAGCACTCGGGAGGCAGAGGCAGGCGGATCTCTGTGAGTTCGAGGCCGGGCTGGACCGATAGCCTCCAAAACAATACAGAGAAACCCTGTCTCGTAAAACCAAAAAAAAAAAAAAAAAAAAAACCAAACAAACAAACAAACCCACTACAAAATCTTGAGTTCTCCCTCCCTTATTCACACACACACACACACACACACACACACACACACAGTGGTATGTGATTCCCTAGCTGCTGATCCGCAGCGCCTTTTTTTTTTTAAACTGTGGGGCACCAAGTAACTCTTATCTCTTCTCTTTGGCGGGTGCTGATGGTTCACTACACAACCAGTTCCCTGGGCTCGACTATGTCCTTGCAGTGAGCACCGGTAGAACTTGACCCTCTCCCCTCCATTCTCCAGCCCTGGCTTCCAACTCCATCCGCAGACTCCAAGAATCACGTCTTCAGAGGAGTTGCACTCCTAGAGAATGTGACCCAGCAAGGCGGTCCTCCTTGGTAGGCCAGGAATAGGATAGGGATCCGGAGGACCCCAACCCACGTGCTCCAAGTCTCCCTCTTCAAGCGCCGCCTTCCGGCCCAAAGAAAACTACATTTCCCAGGGTGCATCGAGGCGGGTCCTTGCTTCGAGCAGGGGCCCCTGCCGGCGCGCCGTTCCGTCGCCTGTTCGGGGGCGCGCGGGATGCCACGAGGACAGGGCCAAAGACCCGGAATGAGTTACCGCGTAGTTCCGCTGGGCCGTGCCTGGATGTGCTTGGCCGTGCCGGGTCAGGACAGGCGTGGGTGGGGGCCTGAGTTGGTGGTACTGGGGTCAGGCGCTCGGGACAGCCCACGTCTTGCTAAGGTCTCCGCCCCGTCCCGGCCGGGCCGGCCCGTCTGTCAGTCACCGGGGCGGAGGCAGCGACCATAGCGGGGCCAGAGCCGGGAGGCAAACGGATCGCGGGCCAGGCCAACGGAGGAGATCTAGCTCAGCCCCTCAACTCCATCGACTCTGCCCCAGACTCACGAAACAGCAACCCCGCGCTTCCTTGGACGCCTCTGTATCCCGCGAAGGGCTCGTTCCCGGGTGATCTCCCAGCCCCTTGACCTCTTAGCATCTAGGAGCTCACACAGACTAGGGTGTTGTGGGTACAAGTCATTGACCTTGTGACCCCTCACGGGCCAGGGCCTGGGTTTCCTTCATAGGCCTCCCCTATGCCTACTGATTCAAGGGACAGAGCGGTGACCTCCCACTAGCACCCTTGCCTGGGAGCGCCTCGCTGACGCCTCCCTTTTGGGAGCCGCCTCAGTGGGTCCCCTCCGAAGAGCGCATCTTTTGACCTCTGCAAGTCCCCACAACCCCAAACGAGGTGGGGAGGCCTCGGCAGCCATGCCCGGCCTGGGCATCCCCTCATCCCACCGCTTCCTGGGTACTCAAGCCGGGGTCTAGCAGGGAGCCGACAGCCAAAGGGCTGGGGCAAGAGATAGATCAGGGCCCACCTCCCTGCCAGGCAGGGAGCAAAGATGGAGCGGCGGGAGGAGCAGCTGGGGGCTGTAGGGGCTGGAGCAGCCCCAGCCTTGGACTTCACTGTGGAGAACGTGGAGAAGGTATGAGGGCCTCGGGGTGGGCACACCAGTGACAGAGCAGAAGTTCTGGGGACTGACACTAATGCCAGAGCTCAGACCTGGGCTCAGTGCCCGCTGGGATGATGCCCCTAGAGCACCTGGTATTTACTGCTCTCGGCAGGCTTGGACAGCAGTGTTGCAGTGCCTAATGGTCTATTTTTGGCTTTCTGTAGACACAGTCCCCTTTCTGACAGATACTCCAGGGTCTGAGGTTGTTCCCTTCAGGGTGCTGATGGCTTGCTTAGACTTATATCCAGATTGGCTCCTGTCCAGCTTCAGGAGAAAAG